CTATGTTACTTATACTCGTATTTTTTTGTTGGCAGCGAGGGAAGAGAGGAAGAATAGATTCTGAGCACTTAATTTTAACTTAGCAAATTGTGCTCTTTCTTAACTTTCTGATTTGCCAATATGTTATTTTTTACAGGTGGTTATTATTATAGCTGTCTTTTCAAAATTAAACTGTAAAAGTTTTAAACAGTTTTAATTCTGCAGCTGCATCAGGATCTATAAAGTGAAAACGTGCTTCGATGCCAATTAAGTATAATTGCCACAAAAATAAATGGAGGCCTGTCCATCTAAAGAAATTGCATGATGAGTATGGCATTGGAAAGTCAACAGTATGTGACATAAGCAACTGGAAAAGCAACATTTTTATTTATGTATTTGATTCTGACATCCCACTCTCAACAAATAACAAATAATAATCATAATCTTATGCTAAAAGTGATAATTCTGACAGGGAATGAATGAGATAATGTTGCTTTGAGGGCATGCCTTTTGACAGGTCCAATGCCAGTGGCAGAAGCCAAAATATTTCACGTAGAAATGGGCTTATAGATTGAGTCACCTAGTTGACAGAATGATTAATTAAATTTAAATTTCACAATCGTATTTAAATTTTAGGCAGGAAAGCTTCAATTGATGCTGAAGCAGTTGAGCAATTTTCAGATTACTTTATTTATAGTGAAAATTTATCTCTGGAGCAAATTTATAAAGTTAATAAAGCTGTTCTTTTATAGCAATACCTGTCTTGAAATACCATGCTGACCTTTGTAGAAAAGACCCCAACTGGCATCAAAGATTCGAAAGCATGTGGAAATGCTGCAAGAATGCACAAATATAAAATTTTTGTAATCGTGTAGAGAAAAATACATGACCTCAGGCATTTAAAAGAGTAAAGATTTTCCCCATCATCTATAATTCAAATAAAAGAGCATGGATGACATAAACATCAATAAATGATTGCCTTGGAAACCATTTCATATATGAGGCTCGGCATCATTTGAAATTGGTTGGTTTACGAGATGAAGCAAAAGATTACCTGATTACAGACAACTGTTTGGCTCATGCTTCACTTAACAGTTTTATTGAAAGATAATGTCTCCATCTTTTTCTTTCCTCCAAATTGTATATTCAGTCATTAAGCCAATGGATATCAGAGAGCTGCACATGCTGAAATACTAATATAAAGTAGTCTTTTAGAAATCTGTGCCAAGTTTTCTGAATAGTTATAAGACCATTCACAAATTTCAAAAATATTTTAATATTAAATCTGCTGTATCTGCTGAGCATTACAATATCATGAGAGGACATGTCTGTAGTTATTTAAAAAAAAATACTGAGCATAATTTATGGCCAGTGACCGCATTTCATGGTGGTGGTGATAATAATAGTAGTGAATTTTTATAGATATCACAAGCAAAAAGAGGCAAAATTTGTTCAACTAATGGAATTTGTTAAGAAATCTGTATAAGTGATAATAAATGAAAATGATGTAACAGAATTTTTTCATTGCAATGACAATGCTTCAGTCATCAACTAACTAATGGATAGCAAAGGTAGTGAAGAAATTTACAAAGAGGCTGTTGAAAAGTAAAATATTTCAGTTGGTACTTTAGTGGGAATTCTCTGTATGACAATTACAAAATTGAACAAGAAATTATGTCTATATATGAAATTAAAAAGAATGTATTTGCAGATAAAATAAAAGGATCTAAATACCTTTAATTGAAAGAAATTTTTAATAAAAACAAACAAATAGTATTGAGTCCCCCCCCTTTTTTTTGTAAATTTGGATTTTTTAAAGTTCATAAATGCTTCAGTATTTCATAAACAACTGCTGAATATTTTTTAAATTTCTGCATGTCATCTTGCTAGATCTAAAATGATTTAAAATCTGGAATTGCTGAAGCTGTGATGACTTTAGATCCCATAGTTTATTCTATATTTGTAAAATCTTTTCACCCTTTAAATTCTTCAAATAATTTTTTTAACCTATCATGAATTAAAAAAAAATGTATATTTATTTAAATGTACATTCACTAAATATCAGTGACTGTTTTTTCAAAATTGGATTTAATAAGGATGTGTATAATTTATTTTATTCTTATATAAATAATATATGTGAATAAAATAATCTTATACACATTTATTATTAAATATTAAACTATTTAATATTTAATAAATAATTTAATGTTTAATAATACTTTATTATTAAATTGCTAATATATTTTTAGTATGTATAAGATTCTTGTATATAAATAATGAAAAATTTTCTCATAAGAATGATTAGTTCATCAATTGGTATTTGAATCCCATTTCCTGTTGGTTATAAAACAGACTCTCTTTTAATGAATATTTGTGTAATAAATACTTAATATATTTGGATTTGGAAGATGTTAGAAAGTTAGATAAGATTTAATTTTGATTCTTATTTTTGTTTTTTACTGTGGTGGGTGGGAAAATGGGGGTTATTTTTCCTATATTTATTTCATTCGTTTCTGGGAACAGGAAGCATTTTGGCTATGGAGAGTTTGAAATGTATTTAATGTAGCAAATACCCCCTCCCCCAAGTGCACGAGCATAACAGTATAAACTCTACAAATACTGTATTTTTTTAATATTATTTCTAGTTATTCTTTCATGTTGTTTACTAGTTAAATTTTGAAAATTGTATGATGTTGCAAGCATAATCAAGGATGTGTAAAGAAACAACTTTTCAAGTTAAAAATGCGAGCCTAGTTGAAAATGCAAAGTTTTCAACTAGGCTCGCATTTTTAACTTGAAAAGTTGTTTCTTTACACATCCTTGATTATGCTTGCAACATCATACAATTTTCAAAATTTAACTAGTAAACAACATGAAAGAATTAAAGGACAGGTTTAATTAAAACATTTTAAGCTATTCCTGAAAAATAATGGAAAAGTGAGTATTAGTGTTCATTGTGTTGATTCATGTTTCATTTACATTCAGAAAATTTTCCTTGAACATCTATTGCTAGAATACAGAGGCTGTTTGTGCATTTTTTAGATGACTTAAAAAAAATCGCCTGTATGGAAAATATTTTCCTAACTGCAGCTATATTTTTGAAAGTGTAAATTATTGTCTCCTATTTGACAATTTTGTTTTCATGCAAAATGACGCTTTTAAAAAATCAATGGAAAGTTATGTTTCTGCTCTTATTAAGTTATTATTAAGTTCATATTAAGTTATTAAAAATGCTGTGAAAGCTATGATTTTTCAGTATCTAAAGCAACAGTAGATAATTCATTGCTTTCTCAAACAAAATGAACATATAAAATTTTCTTTGTTAATTAATAAATAATTTTAAACCTGGAAAACAAAATATTTTGTGTTCATTTTCATTTTGAAATAAACATTTATTTCACTAATTTTTAGTACAGCACAAAGTCCGAAATCCGGACTCGGGACTTCGGCGATACTGAATTAGGGATTTTTCCAGATATTAGATCATCAGTTTAAATCTAAGATGGCATGTAGAAATTATAAAATTAAAAATATGAAATCTTGATTTGTGAAATAATGAAGTATTTATAATCTAAACTGTATCAAAATTTATAAAAAAAAAGCTTAATATTTCTCAGTTTACCTTATTAAACATTTCTTTCAATGTAAGTTGTTTAAGTTGCTTCGTTTTTTGTGCTAATACTTTCTCTTTAGTTCTGTAGACAGACATAATCTCTTGTTTAGTTACATTGTTGAAGTCCTGTAACTGCTGTATCGAGAGACTAACTTGTCAATCGAAATTTTTTTTATTTTCAGTAACGTTTCTGTCACTTTCTTTACAATCGGTATTTTCCAATAGAATACTACAGATTTCGCCATTCATTAATTGACTGATGACTGAGAAGCATTTTCATCACAATGAAAAGCTTCTTTTATATAATCTTCATTTATTACCGCTTCTTCACATTTCTTTACAAAATAAATTAATTGGAAAATTTCACCTGTGTTTTGTGATATCTGAAAACCTTTAAAAGTTAGCGGCTATCATCATCAAATTTAGCTATCCTTCACTATACATACTTGGCTGTGCATCATGAGCTTGGCGACTAATGACAAGTTGTTCCATTAAATTTTATTTTCTTCAATCGTGCACTTGAGACAATTAAGCCTGAATTGTATTAATTATTTATTATACTTATGTCTATTTCTTGCACATGCTTAAGGCTTATCGGAGTTCTGAATAAATAAATTCTCACATATACTTAAGCCTTATTGAGGGCCGGCACTAGATATCTTACCGCCTGATGCAGTCTCTGTGGGCCCTAAATTCTGAGACTCGGTGCGGCCATACGAGCCCTGGCACTGGTTCTGGATTTATGTGAATAACAAATCAGTTATTCTAAATTCAAATAGCCCTAAATAACTTAAGTCTGCAGTAATCGCCAAGCGTAATGTCAACATAAAAGGTCAGTTTATTATTAAATTGCTAACATAAAAAATTGTTTAGGCATTGCTACATAAGTCATTTTGATAAACATGCGGTGATGAAAGGAAAGTATAATAAATAATGATTCGTCAGGTTGGCGTCAGATCAACGATGTATCTATGTGGAATGTTTTGATTTGCAATGTGTGCCGAAAGCAGATACGCAGCAATGGAGCCAAATTACTGATCTTACAGATTTATGCTAAAATGATTGTTTCTTCAATAACAAGACATTTTATTTAGTGTCGAAGTGAAATTAAGAATTGGGCTTCTCCAGATGTTTTATTATGCGCGGAGGGGAGAGGGGAATCAAATATGCATGCGTAAAGCCTATGAAAAAAGTCGGTGGTGGTTTTGAGGTCCGGATTCTAGATCATTCCAGATAATGGACATCTGGATTTCAGACTTTGTACTTCATTTCATCATTATTAAAAATTAGTTTAACAAATCATTAAATTTCATAATCTGTAATCTTCAGTGTTTTATTTTAGATTTATATTTGGGTATTTAAATTTCAAGTATAATTCTATAGGTGTGACTGTTTATCTCTATTTTAGATGCGGCTCTGGATTAGCCTTAGTAAGGAACAGCAAAAGGAATTAATGAATAATGAAGAATCTACAGTTTACAGCCAAGCCATTCATTATGCCAATAGAATGGTGGCTCTCAGAGTGCCATTAGATGCTAGTAAAAGTGCCAAAAGCTCCAGTGACTTGGAGCGGGAAAGTAACAGCAACAGTAATGTTACCAATAGGTTAGTTCTTAATCAATAGCTTAATAGTTGATTGCTCTGATTTTTAACCAATAGCTGTGATGTTGCTAATATTCATACAGTAAGAAACTCGGTATCGAATTTATGGCATTATGTAATTGAATTTGAGCTATTGCTTTTCTATTAAATACTGTTGTGTCACAGTTGTCATGAATTTTAATGTATTTGATATTGAATTTGATTTGATTATGAATTAAGGATTTTTTTAATTTAAGTGGACTTGTTTAAATTAGGGTATCAGTAATTTCTGGAAGTTAAAAAATCATTGTATTGAAACTCTGTACTTTTTGTTAGCATTCTTATGGGTCGAGAAATAAGGATGAGTCTTTTCCTGCAGGTGTTTTGGGGGTGAGAATCGGATTGATATACAGTGATCAGCGAGCGGATATTGCCATGGATAAGATGAGAGTTTTGTGTCCTTTTGTAATTAAAATGCAAAAATGTGTCTGCTTTATTTGTTTTTGTTAGAAAGAGAAAGTTTCAAGTTTTGGGGTGTATTTATTTTTAAGGTTAGTATTCCTTTAATAGAAGAATTGTTGGGGTGAGCTGAGGTCTTTACTTGTGGGTGGGTAAAATTGTTTTATTGGTTGAGTGGCACTTTTTTCTTTGTTAAGATTGCTTATATTCAAGGATAACTGAAGGATTTGAATTTCTTCTGAAAAAGTGTTTTCTTGTTACAGGCTAAGTCATTGCTGACTGTAGTTTTTTTCATTTGGTTATAAGGAAAATTTCTAACTTAGCATTGGCCTGGAATTATTAATTGTTTCTGAGCTAACTTATAATATTGTTGGAGTGCGTCATGCGAGGTTTCCTCAGAGGTAGCATGATTATAAAAATCGGATTTGGCTTGATTTTAAAGAAGATTTTGGAAATGAAAAAACTCACCTTATGGGGCCCAGCCCCTGTCACTAATTTTGATTAGGACAGAATGAGCAAAGATATTCAACTTTTGCTTTACCAGCAGATTCTTGGTCTCACATCTGACAGAAAGAAGCCACTATGAGTGTAATACATTAATTCATGCAGCCTTGTGCCATCAAGGATGTATGTTACTTCAGCAGTTGGGAGTCATGTCTTTTAGGTCAGGTAGAAAAACAGGAAAAACTAGCAGATTGAGTAGAGGCAAGCTATTTGAGATGTTTTTGTTAAAGAATTGATTACTGAATTTCCGTACGTTGAATTGTTCGTATGCTAGCTAATTCATGGAAAGTTTCAGTGTGTTTCAAAGGGTGTGCTGGAACTCCAAAAATATTCCCTGGCAATCTACTTGCAGACTAGATCAGAAAAACTTGTCTGTCAACAAGGATAATTTTCTGTGAGGACGGTAATTTTCATTTAAGTTCTCATGGAGTTAACAATTAGCTCAGCTAATTAGATGTTATTAACCATAGAGTGAATAATTTCTTTTCCACTTTTTTTCATTATTATTTTATTGTAAGGATTTTTGAAGATTAATTACTGAGTAATGATCAGTCTTTTTGGTGTTTAATTGTTAATTTGAAATCTAACTTAAAATAATAAATGAAAAGCAGAATTTTTGATACTTAAAGGATTCACTAACATTGGTAGTAATTTGATACAAAGAGTTTTTTACCCTGAGCTACAAATTTCACCATTATATGAACTGCACTGTGTACAACTTCATATGGTATCTTGCTGTACCTCCATGTTTTTCTTTGACTATTTTGAAGAACCCCATACTCATTCCATATTTTGTATATGAACTGCATGTCTGACCATAAGTAATAGTGTCATCTTCATTGTTTGGTAGATCCCATAGACTCATGATCAAACTATATAAACTGCACGGAAAAAATACTCTGTTCTTAAAACCGAGGCTTATAAGCATGTTTAAAACTTATGGATGTTATATGGTTGTGATAACAGTTAATTTGTGTATGATGCCAAAGTTGGCAACTATTCACTTTTTTTTTTTTTTTTTTTTTTTTTTTTTTTTTTTTTTTTTTTTTTTTGTCTTTGTCTTTTTGTCTCTTCCCGTGTTAGCACATAAGTATCGAATTTTCGAATTTTTAATGGTTAATTGTTAATAGTTATATCATATATTAACAGATGAGGGAAATGTTCAGTGTATCGTGAGAGAAAATATTATTGCCCTTATTATAGAGAATATTATATTACTAAATTTAATTTAATAAAATTGTAAATGTTAGAAGATGAATCAGTTTCCTGTATTACTTGAGAGGGCAATTTGTATGGCTCTCAAATTCCAATGGATAAGCTTTTACTTCTAAGCGATTGTTAGGGACTAGCTAAATATGCTAATCATCTAAAAAGTTAATAAAACTGTTTAAAACTTAAATTAATGTTCATCTGATTGGTGGCATACCATTGTGTCTCCATGTTTGATTTGGAAGATTCTAGAAACATTGAGCTTTACGTTAGCTTTTCCTGCTCTTAAAGTAAATTTTGTAAATGCAGTGTAATGGTTTATTGAGAAATTTTACTTATCAGTGGGTGAAGGTAATGTGTGTACATTTGAACTTTTAATCATGAACCGGCGATTGATTGCTTTTTGTATAGGTAATTCTTCCTTTGATGTCTTGAGGGTTTTTTTGGGGGGTGGGCCGGGAGAGGTATTTGTATTTCAATGAAATGGGTTTGTGGCTATCCCTAGAAAGGTTTTTGTTGATTTAAGTAGTATTTTAAAGAGAGATAGCATATTTTTAGACTTAAAATGGATTTCAGTTTTCATTATTAGTGGAAAATATACGTTTTGAATTTTTATTCCAGAACACTTGAGAAGATCCGTCTTACTCTACTTTCAATATTATTGAATTAATCTATCTGAACTTAATTGAATTCAATTAACTTTACAAAGATAAGGCATTCTTTTAATTTTGATTTTAATTTCAATCACCAATTTCACAAGTTAAGAGATTTATTTCTGTTTTGTTCCAACACCAGTAGTGTCAGGTAATTGAAAGGAAGTCCAATTACTGTATTCAAAATTAATTAAAATTGAAATTTTTTCAGTGTAACAGTACATGCATTTTTTAAACAATCTTTGCATTTCTGTTTAATTATTAATTCACCTAAAAATCCTATAAATTTTATTATTGATATTGAAGCTATTGTGGTAATAAATATAATAAAGAGACAATAATTAAACCAAAATTAAATCATAAAAAGGGGCTAACATTCCAACAGGAAATACACATATCAAAATTAAAACAAAAATATTTCAAAGTTGAAAAAAAATATGTGTAGTAATAATAAAAGTAGTAAACACTTCAATAAAACTAATATATATATATATATATATTTGAAAATTCTTTGATCTTTTCAAAGAGCTGCCACATTTCTGATTATGTCTAGAGGATTATTAATACTGGAAATATTTTGAAATAAAAATTTAAAGAAAAAGCCAGTTATAACTAACATCAAGGTATAACCTAATCCGACATGACCCCAAATTAAAAATTATAAACATTTTAAAAGGCTTATAAAAAGAATTTACAAGTAAAAAGCGTAATAACCATTGGATAAATCGAATACAATCTACTAAACAAATATTATTCAAGTTTTTGAGTAAGAAATGAGCAAAACCATTGGATAAAGTGAAAGCTATGTGTTTAACTGATATTAATTAAATTTAAGCCAACGAACCAAAGAAAAGCAAGTCTGCTAGAAAACTTTACAGATCAAACGCAACTATTATAAAATTTCAAGTCAAAATTTTGAATTATTTAGAAGAAATTATTCAAAAGTAAAATGAGTAGGAATTTAAAAAATAATTTATGCAGAAAAGTTACCAAATTGGGGGGGGGGGGGAGACCATGTAACAGTAGAAGGCCTATAGCCTAAAAAGGCAATATATATGTCTTGAAAAAGGAAAAAGAAAACTCGAATGAAGTAAATCATCTACATGGCTATTTACTGAATAACCCTTGTGAACACAAACTTAGATGAGTTGAGCTGCTGCAGGGAAGATTGAGTAAAATGGAAAAAACAAAATGCACAGGAACTTAGTTGATGTGCTAATATTTAGTGTGTAAAATTGGGAAATGAAAATGTTGAAGATGGTAAACTTAGTGTAAAATTGGAAATTTATTTGCCATTAATTTCATGTAATTAAATTTAATAATTGAATAAATAAATTTTTAAGAGTGGGAAATTTGTAAGAAATTTAAAATTTAATTTTCTTATTTTAACACGTTGACGCCAGCTCTGATATTTGCGATCAATTCCGTGCGACGGTGCTTCAACTAGAGGTCCGCCCCATGGGGCGGCGTGGCACCAAATTATACTGTTTAATGCTTGTGCCCTAATATCCACTAGCTGATTCAAAAAGACCGAATTTCCAAAATTCTCACGTGGCCCGTGCATGGTCTGGCCTGCCGATAGGACGCACATGAATTGGGAAAAACCCGAATTCGTTTTTTATGGCCATAAGCCCAGTCGACAGGCAAACAATGCATATGGTCAACATAACATACATAACATTAGTAGGTTTCCTTCTTATGAAAAGAAGGAAAAGAGCTTAGGCAATGTTGCCCATTGCTCTTCCGCCATTTGATCATTTAAATCAAAGGTTTTTAAATGGTAACTCCCATGAAAGGTAAATAATAAATAAATAGATAAGATTCCAAACTGACACCAAATATATAATATCAGCAAAAGATTTCCATCTCTAAATTCAGGGTGTCGGTTAAAACTTCCCAATTGGATGAAAAGCCGATTCAATCCCTCCCAAACCACCAAACGCAAACTCTTGACCAAACAAGGGTGCAATGGTAAGTCTAAAATAAAAAATAAATAAATAAATAAACAAGTAAAAATAAATTAATTAATTAATTAAAAAAAGGAAGGCAGAGGTACTTTCTCAAGCCAAATGGACAGGTGGTATATAAAGATTTGATATCTATTTCCAAATTATATTCCAAAACAAAGCTATGAGAGGGAAATCCCAGCATAGTTTCTTAAAAAAAAAAAAAAAAAAAAAAAAAAAAAAAAAAAAAAAG